TTAGAATGCTGCACCATTTTTAAAGGAAAATTTACTTTTTATATTAATACCATTCTCCAGCAAGTCAAAAACATAAAACTATTGCCAGCTATAGATTCACATCTAATAAAAAACTATATAGCAACTTGTATGATTTCAAATATTATGTTCTGACATATATTCTAATTCTATCATTAATATTTTTATAATACCTTTATTAAATTTCAGAATCAAATATTAAAATACAAATTTTATATTAAAGGAAAAGGAAATAAAACAAAGTTAGTGACAAAAAATAAATTTATAACAAATATAACATTTGATTTTCTTTTATTCCAAAAATAATATAAATACAACAACCTTTCTATATATTTAAATAATACTAATCTTTAAAATCAACATTTCAAAAATCCCCTATTCCTAAATTATTATTCTCTTAATTCTAATCTCACACATAAATTTTCAAATGTAAATAAACTTATATTTAACAAAACAATATTTCTATTGTCAAATTAAATCTTATCCTCTAATTAGAAACTCAAAAGTTAATTTGTCTTATAATAAATCATACAGTGGTCTCCAACTCACACAAAAATGAAAATTTTCATGAAAAAAAATGAAAAGAAGTCATCATTTTGTCATGATAGCTAGCTGCATTCTTTCAAACTCCATTCTTCCAAGGTGAGTATATATTTTTCGTTCCAACTATGGACATATGGGAACCTTGTCCCAATGTCTTATATAAAGTCCCGTGTTTTTCTTTCCAGCTGCTTTTCTGTCATTCCTTAAAATCCATTTTCATAATATTCTCAACCATCATAAATATTTGATTACAAAAGTTTTTAGCTTTCCTACAGGTCCACCCAATTTGATAAAAGCATCTTCAGATTGATTACATTTCCAATATTATTGATATTCTCTTATATATCTTGTATAATTTATCTGGATTTGAATACCATTGATACATCATTTATAAAATATATATTCATTTACTCTCTTTCTGTAGGATCAGGCCACCTTCATTTAGATCTACTGTATCTTCATCTTTCTCTTAGTTGTGCATTCATACAACATATGATTTTATTCCTCTATTAATTCACACTTTTTACCATTTATTCCTTTGGTTACATTCTGCTGTGTCAGGATTTGGTGCCTACAGTTCAGAATTATTTATTCTTTTCAGGGTTGAGAAAAACCTCCTAAATGTATGAGGATTGCACCTGGAGCATTTTACATTTAAACAATGCTGAGCAAACTTCCTTTGGCCAGGCCTCCATCACTCCTAACATTGATCAGCTATACGACTATAAGTGAATTCACTAGAAGTATGATATAATTATTGAAAGGGATGTGTTTTGGTCTTTTTTCTCTTTTGGGTGTAGGGGGTTGAGCATGGCAATAGGATTAAGAAGCTTCTAGGAGGCAAATTGCTCCCAAATTAGATAACTTGGACCATTGTGGGGAGTGGGAATACCCCACCCCCATTTCTATGTTCTGTTTGGTTAGAATTATAGTTCTATGAGACTGTATCCATTTTACATGAAGAACAACCTAAATTCAATCTATAAAAAAAAACCAAAAAAAAAAAAACCCCTCAGTATGAGAAATCGACTCTTCTCAATCAGAAAATGTACATTGGATTGATGGACAAGTTTGTTCTGGTAAGTTTTTCTGAACTGCATTTGAGATTCTGGCCATTTTTTTATGACAGACATATGGCTTTAGTAATGTCTAACTCTGACATAGTTATATCTAATTTTCAAGGCAACTTTGAATTTGGCCTGATGGGTTTAATTACTCTGGATCTTGTAAACAAAACTTATGTCATGATGTTCAAAACAGTCTGGTAGGATCTTTCTAGGACTAGGTTAATCAGAAATGGGTGGCAACCTTCCTGATGAAGTGTTTGATTATCAATGCAATGTCAGCAGCAGCTGTTTCCTGGCTTGTCAGCAGTATCAAGCCTGTTTCTTTTCCCATGCTCTGAACCCCCCCTCCCATTCCTCATTCAGAAGATGGCTTTGAACTTTCAGTGCACAACATAAGCTTTAGCCAGTGACTAATGTAAGCAGGAAATGTAGATAAATGGTATCTGGGTCAAACAGGAAAGTATCTAATATAGGAGCATTCAGCCATGCTTATTCTATTTTCTTCTCAGAGAAAGGTTGTCCCTGAATGATAGCCACTCACCAAAATATTGCACATTTATTTGCTTCTGTGGTTATATATATTAAACAACCATGTCCATTGGCCTCCAGCTATTTCCCTGGTCTGCCAGAGGAGATCGAGACAGCTTAGAGCCATGATGGCGTGCCATTTCTCCAGGCACGCCAGCCATCACATGCTGCTCTTGCAGGTACCAGTGTGCACATGTGCACTGGTCAGCTAGTCTCCGCATGTGCAGGAGCACCAGAAACTAGAAGAGCAACTCCCTGGCACACATATGTGCGTCGGGAACCCAAGCTATCCCATGCACTGGCCAGCTGGTCTTGGCGCATGCTGGCAAGCTGGTCTTTGTGTGTGCATGCTTTCCAGAAACCAGAAGACCAGGTGACTGGTGTGCATATGCATACCAGAAACCAGAAGCTCAGCAAGCGCAGGGTAACTGCTCTTTTGGTTTCTAGTGCTCCCCTATGTGCACACCCTCCCGTTTTGTCACTCGGTGCTGAAAAGTTTTGCCAACATTGGCTTAGAAGATTTAGGAATGTGAACTCTTGTGAGGGCTTGTGATAATTGAGGAACATAGACAAAGGGGGCTTTAAAAAAATAGAAATCTTCTTTCTCACTACCAGACCTTAGTATTTATGATATACTCTGTATAAGTAACTCAATATTCCTTCCAATACTTGCTACTTCTGAGCACAGATTTCATATATGCCTAAGGTGACCAGACGTCCTGATTTCAGCAGGATGGTCACGCTTTATAACAATTTGTCCCGTGTCCAGGGCCGTTTTTAAAAAGTCCCGATTTTCTGGCTTCATGTTGAAAGCCCAGTGGATTTGCTTAAGAAATCCTAACCGGGGCAAGACAAAAGACACTCTGTCTAATCCCTCTCTCTGTCTCAGTACTTTCATTGAAGATATTAAAACGTTAAAGCAACAAAACGGACCCCCTCCCGAGCCCCTTTTACTCACTTTTATAAGAAAAAATGACCAAGTACTATAGAGCTGCAGGAAACACTTGGCTAGAGGTCGTGAATGTTAGTTCCTGGATTTTACAGAGGGGAGGGGCACGGAGGTTGGAGGTCTGCTCCAAAATGGTGGCAAAGTTTCTTTGAAAAATATTTCCCTGACTAATTTCACCATTTCAATTTGCTCAGTTCTTTGTATTAACATCTACATCATTCTGGGTTGACTTGTAGTGCAAGCCTGCTGGTAAGTGAGCTGGGTTTTTTTCTTTTATTTTTTTAATGTATTTTAAAATAATATTTTATTTATTGTGCATAGGATTTTTAAAAATTCTGTGTGGATTCTTTTTTTAAATTGTCTTAGTCTATTTAAAAAAAGATTCTATCCAAAATGAATTGAAGTGAAACCATGTTTAAAAATTCTATGCACAATACTTTGAAATATATTGTGCATAGAAAGAATAGTTTGAAATGTTTTACTTCAATTTATTCTGTGTGGATTCTTTTTTTAAATTGTCTTAGGCTATTTAAAAAAAGATTCTATCCAAAATACAAAATACCAGCTGCAGTTATTCACTTAAGAACTATGGCAAGAAAGGTGGTATAATGGGCTTAGTGACCAAAGTTACAATGGCATTGAAAAAGGTGACTGATGACCATTTTTCACACTTAGCGACCATTTTCACACTTAGCGACCATTGCAGCATCCTCATGGTCACGTGATCAAATTTTTGATGTTTGGCAACAGTTACAATTTATATTTGTAAATTGTAGTTATGTTGAAATAAAAAAAATTTTTCCATTCTTTTTTTTGGTTTTTTTGAAATTTTTTTTTGTTCGTTTTAAATTTTTTATTCACCCCGGCCCCCCCCGCCCCTGGGCAAAGATATCCCTCTTTACCAATCTGAAAATCTGGTCACCTTATATATGCTTTTATATGTAGAGGATTAACATGCCAGAATCGTTCAATAATGAAAATGGTGGCATATAAATTTAATGTAAACATAAATTAAGCATAGTTGTGGAAGGAGAATTGACTGGTCTAGTACAAAATGAGTTTTCACTGACAAATGTAAAGGTTAGAAATTGCATTTTAGTTTTTTTTTATAATGTTTAACTTTAATTCTGTTTTATGTATAAAACTTTTTTTTGAATCTTTCAAAAGAAGAATAAGTTCTGAAGAAGAATAAGTGTTTACTTCCCCTGTGGTTCAAACTGATGATTGGCTTAGGGGTTGGTGACTCCCTCCTTCCTTTGTTTACATCCGCATCGGGATATGGGCAGTACATACCAGGACATTGCACATCCTGAGCACACAAGCAGACTTATTTTATCCTAAAGAATTTTCTGCCTGCTGTGGTGGTTCCTGTCTTGTTACAATATAAAGGCTGATAGGAAATTGGAAGGGTGGTTCAAAATCTAATACGACATTGAGACTGTAGCAGAGTGCAACAGAGGGACTCAGTGGCAAAATTTCCCAATTCTATTACAATACTTTACAATGGTAAAGTGGATTTCCTGTAATCCTAGAAGAAAACATCAAAACCAACAGATACAAAAGCAGCACATATAATTAAAATCAAGTAGATGATAAAGAGTGAATATGATCAAAGTACACAATATTTCATGGGGATTCTACTCATTCTGGCCCAAAGTTCTGAAAGAAGAGCCGGATGTCTTCTGAAAGACAGGTAGGATCAGGATATTTATGGGGTAGAGTAGAGTAGGAGAAAAGCAGATTATTCTATTACACTCTTTTCTACATTTTCAGAACTTTTGTTCCCATGACTCCTGTATATTTCTGTTTCTGGATTTAGTTATGCATAAGGAATCTCAAATATTTATTTCCATTGACCATAGAGATTTAACATGACAAAACTCTTCTTTTGATAGGAGTTGGTTATCATGGGAGCTCCAGGGTCTTACTATTGGACAGGAACGATTAAAGTATTGAATCTCACTGATAATACATATTTCAAACTGAAAGATGAATCTATGATAGCCAAGCGTTACATATATCTAGGTAAGCAAAGCACAACAATTTTCAAATTGTTATTGGTAAATAGTTACTCACATGCATAAATGTATAGCCAGTGAAATCTAAGAATTTTGGAATTCTCAGAGGTGAAAAATCCAGGAATTGCATCTCTGGAAAGTTTGGATTCAGGAATTCTTCCACTCACAGCCCTGACTACAATGTTGCATGTGCACATTAAAACAATCTAGTAACTTCTTCTGGACTGAATGATTTAATAGTCTGTGTCAGAAAAATCTTAGTACCCTTAGACAACTGCAAATCCCAAAGGGAAGCTAAGATTGATGCTAAGTCATTTACAAAATATATATGCGCCTTTGTTAAAATCATTATTACATGTTTGGAAAATGAATAAATGATCCTGATTTAAAGAAGTCCTTTTCAGTGATTTATTGTTCCATGAAAATATGCTTAGGGTAATAGAGGAATGTAAGCATTATTTTTAGTAAGGCTTAGAAACATCTATTTAAAAATGCAGTCGTTGTCACAGGAGAAATGTTAATTCCTCTAATGACTTCTGTCCAGTTCTCAGTTGTGCTGAATATGGCAAATCTCTGCTTTCTTTAACTATTTGTGTGTTAAGTCTTCATCTACTTTTAAGAAAAGGTAGTGGACCTCTTTTCTGAAGAAAAGACTATTGCTCTAAAAGACATAGAGGTTTTCTCTTTGAAAAAATATGAAAGTTAATATTTATAATACAGGTAAAAGACCTGTAATTCATAGTATAAAGGAAGCAAGGAGCCTTTCAAATATGACATAATGGTTTTACAAGGAAAAGGAGTTGAACATTAAAGAGTGTTCCTGTCTCATTATGTGTCATTTTAGAGAGGCAAATAAAATCATATTATTGACCTTTCAAATAAATATTTTGCCTCTTTCAGCTACATTTTATTTTATTTTGTTTAAATCTAAATTGATTTGTTGGGTTTATTCCCTTTTTCCACATACCATTATACTTTATATTTACTATATTGTCACTGAGAAATATGTAAACATTTTAACATGTTACTATTACAAGTAGTTGCAATTTACTGATATGGTGATGCACAAATTTTGACTTGATTGGGAAAAGTTGCACAAAAAACAGTTTCTTTCCACATACAACATTAGAAATTAGAGGTATCATTGCTTATACATAAAGTACAATGTGATTGAAATCCTGTACCTTTGTTACAATTTAAGCTGTAGCTACATGGATTCCCATGTAGCTTTTGTTTTGTGAATCAGGTCACAGCATTGACCTCCATGAACTTGTTTAATGACCCAGTAAAGTCAACCAAGTTTCTAATTCACTATATTTTGTCGTGAGTTATGCTGTTCCACTTGGATCTAAGTGAATAATTCCTTTATAACTGACTTTAATCTCTCATAATCCATTTTCATTTGAGGAGCATGGATTATAGTATTTTAGGAATTGGAGAAAAACTTTAGTTATCCATGTATTCCATATGTTGTTTGTTTTTCTAACATCTGCTATTTGCAATATTAAATTTAATCAATAATGTGGTAGAAATTATCTATTTTACACCTGAAAAACTGTCTGCTTTTCAGTTCTAGTACTCTTCTTCCCTTTTATTGCCTTGCTTTTAATTTGTTCAGTAATAACTATCAACTGTTCTGATACCTTCTCTGACTTAAATTATTGTTCTTATGTGTCTCCTCCTTATATATTTATCACCTTATTGTTAGACAGTGATGTGCGGTGAGCTTGATGGCTGGTGAGGCAGCAATTTTTTTAGACTTGTGGACTTCAACTCCCAGAATTCCACAGCCAGGCATGCTCAGTTCCGATTTAAAGCGACAGCATTTTTCCCTTTACAAAATAAGTTTTCCCATGCTTTTTCTACTCCCTCCCCCTCCTTCCTCCCTCCCTCTCTCCCTCCCTCAAACAGACACACACACACAGAAAAGTTGGATCCCTCTCTCACTCACTCACTCTCAAACAAACACAAACACAGAAGTTGGATTTGATATATTTTCCAATGGCTTGAAAGCAGCTCCTCCGCCATACCCCCCCCCCCCCATTCCCCTGCTGCCTTCCA